AAGATTGCCTAACATAGCCAGAGACCTTTGTTCAATTCAGATGAATCTGTTGGCTCCAGTGGCCCTTGCTTTCTACCCTTCAGACACAGATGAAGGATTCAAAGAAGTACTGGTTACCTAGTAACAAGAGAACAATTTGGCAGAGGCTGTATGGAACCCATAGACCATGTTATGTGACTGCTTATGTTTGGGTAACATTGGATACATTTTTGCCTCAGTTTATGAACCTGTATAACAGAGATAATGACAGCATCTTCCCTCAGGGCTGTATTTATTAAGTGATTTCATACCAGTACTGTGCTAAGAGTGAGGCCTGTACTAAGTCTTCAGTCAAGCTTTGTCATTGCTGCTGCCAGGAGCACCATTAGTACTGGCAAGGCAGCATCCTGTATGGACACCTGTCATCAGTATGGTGCAGTGTGCTTTCTCATTTTGAGTCACAGAGCGACCTCCAGGCCAAGATAGCCATCAGCCTGGAAGGATTGTTCACAAAAATATTTTCAAATATTTAGGTTTACTGCAGAGGATTACAGAACACATAAATACACAAATGTGCATTCTCCTTCTCTCTCAAAACAAATTGTTTCTGGTTTTCCCAAAAGCTCAGGGCTTAGGAGGCAGTGGGAGTACTCTTTGTATCCTTCTTTACTGGAAGTATCTGATGAGAAGCATGTGCCTTGCCAGATGAATGAACACAAACAAGAGTCCATTCACCACTGTCTCCCTGGGCAGAGTTCAGCAAAGTGCCCATGGACATTTGTGAGCTGTAGACAATTCTCTAGTAAAATCCGGCTGCAGTAACATTCTTAATTGTAGCACTGGAGATGGGAGCAGCGGTTGATGTGTCTCCTTCCTAAGCAATACATGAGGGAGCAAAAATACATGGAGGTTTGTGTACTTGGTTCAAATCTTACTTTGGCCATTTAATAGCTGTGTGATTACAGACAACTTATTTATTCTTTTATTGTCTTTGTGTATGTGGTGTGTGTGTGTTTGTGTGTGTGTGTGTGTGTGTGTGTGTGTGTGTGTGTGTGTGTGTGTGTGTGTATGCTGGTATTGGGTCTTGAACTCGGAGCTTGGGTGCTGCTACTTAGCTTTTTCACTCAAGGCTGGATCTACAGCTCCACTTCCAGCTTTTTGGTAGTTAATTGGAGATAAAAGACTCACTGCCAAGGCTGACTGTGAACCTTGATCCATAGATCACAGCCTCTTGAATAACTAAGAGTACAGATGTGAGCTACCAGCCCTTATGTACTCTTTATTGAAGCTGCCAAGTGGGGCTGAGAATTCTGGGAGGGAGAGTAATACGGGACACACAAGAATGATTTGGCTTTGGTGAGTGTCCATCAACCTTTCCAATCTCTGGTTCCCAAATAGTTATAAGTAGGGTCTGCCTTCTTTACCCCGAAGAAGCTCTCAACTCCAGTTTATGGTTGGCATGTAGTGAAATTTTCCCAGGCCAAAACCAGGGTGATGCAAATGATTACTAGTTAGAGTGTGTTCCCTGTGTCTGGAGCACTCTCCCTGCCTCTCACACATACACTCACTGGCCCAGTGGAGTATATTTTGCGTCTTGATTCTTACCTCCTTCCCCAACAAAGCTTTCTCTGATCCCTAGATCGATCATCTATGTCCTCCCTCCTATGTTCTCAGAATACCTTTGCCTTTCTTTCTTTCATTTATCAGTTATCACTGAGGATTTGATTAATACTTGTCTAGGGGTAGCTAATTGTTTGGGTACAACTAAGGGCTTTTTAAGGACATGAAACTTTCAGTGCTACATCTAGTAGAGTTCTGGCCAAACCTGACTGATTAGCTGCTCTGGTCTTCCCCCAGGGCATGCTCCATGAGGGCAAAGATGGTGCTCTTCTGATACCATTTATCTAAGTGCCTGGCACACATCCAGATCATGGTGGCAACTAAGGAGTCATCTGTTGAACTAATAGAGGAAAGAATATGTCAATATAAGTTGAACTATCTCTTTTTTGGTAGAAGTTTGTCTTTTTCTCCCAGAGATTATCTTTCCAAGTTTATGAGTTAAGTACCTCCCTTTTAATAACTTGCCCTTATTTGACAAAATTTAAAGTTAGCAATGTTACATAGTTTCCTTGCATTCTCTCATTCCCTTCCCATTTGAGGTTGGAAATCCTACTGATTTGAAAAATCACTGGTTTAGCAAAAAAGAAACCAGAATAGTTGGCATCAAGATAATGAAAGGACTATTTCTGTGCTAAAATGCTAGACCGTAAAACTCATGAGATAGAAATTATGAATATTCAGTTCACTTTGCTATCTCAAGAGCTCATCATACTCCAAAGTATATATAGTCAAAGCTGAATAGATATTTAGAATAAATAAATGAACAGATTTTCTGTCCAGCCTTAAAACCTTGTGGGGTCTTTTTTTTTTTGCCTTATAGATGAGTGAATACTGGGACATTTATTACCTGCCTTGGCCCCTCTACCTAATTTGCCTTACTATGAAAAGGCCATCATAGTTTGCTATGAATAACATGACAGTGTCTTGAGTTCCAAGAGAACCTCTCTCCAAAGGGCACTGTTCATGAATCCCTGTTCCATTTCATCTAGCCAACTCCTTCTAGTCTTTTTAAGCCAAGCCTGTGTCCCTCCTCCAAGAAGCCACTCTAGACCATTTGTTCAGAGCAAACTGAAAGAAAGTTTATTGTCATGTAAAACCACAGGTTGAGATCAGTGAGATTTCAAACCACATAGCAAAACAAACAAACAAACAAACAAACACAACTGTACTTTAACATGTAGGGTTCAGTTTATAAAGCAGAAAGCAAAGTCAATACACAATATAAAAATTGAACTCTGTAACTTGAGTGTAGGGAAAGAATGGGTAGTTCTGAGGAAGAGGTAATATTGACTGAGATGCATTATGCTCATAACCTAACTTCTGGAACTGAAATCCCTTTGCACAAATACTTGATAATAATATATTTTTTGGGTGGGGGGTCTGGTTGTGAGGCCTGAACTCTGGGCCTGGGTGCTGACCCTCAGCTCTTCAGCTCAAGGCTAGCACTCTACCACTTGAGCCACAGTGCCACTTCTGGCTTTTTTTCTTTTTGCTTATGTGGTGCTGAGGAATCGAACCCAGGGCCTCATGCATGCAAGGCAAGCGCTCTACCACTGAGCCACCTTCCCAGCCCTAAAAAATATTTTTTAAGAGCAAAAGGAGGAAGTATTTTGACCTTTCTCTTGGTAGGCTGTTATGTATTGAATTTATTTGGAAAAGTAGATCTGTTTAAACTGGTTGCCTCTAGCTGAGTAGTTTAATTTCATTGAATTATGCTAATAAAGATGCAAAGCAGCTGGACACTGGTCTATCATCCTTGCTACATAGTAGGCTGGGATCTTAGGATCTTGGTTTGAAGCCAGCCTAGGCAGACAAATCTGAGAGGTTCTTATCTCTAGTTTACTAGCAAAAAGCTTTAAGTGGAGAAGTGGAGGTATGGCACAAGTGGTAGAGTGCAGCCTTGAGCAAAAAAAAAACTAAGTGAGAACACAAGGCTTACATTATAATTTCGTTAAATTATGCTTGCAAGCCACATAATGATGGCTCACAAACTATAATCCTGACTACCTAGGATGCTGAGATGTAGAAGATGGCAGTTTGAAAACATCCTGGACAGAAAAGTCCACTAGACTCCACCTCCACCAGCAAAAAGTAGGCAACAAAAGCATGACTCAAATGATAGAGCACCAGCCTAGCACCAGCCTAGCACCAACCTAGCCCTGATTTCAAATCCTCGTATCTGCAAAAGGTTCATATTTATAAGATATAATGCTTACATTTTGTCCTTTGTTTAGAAGTAACATCTAAAGAAGATCAGGATTTTGGTTTTTGGCTGCTTAGTGTGCATAGTTGGCCATATTTATTTATCTAAATAGTGGCTTCTATTTTTACTATTCTCTGGCACACACTTTACCCTCTTGGTTCTTCTTCTAATTGCTTTTGTCATTACCACCCGCTTTATGATTTATTTTTTTAATATTCACATATAAATATATATTGTTTATATATATGGGGGAAAGCTAATATTTCAGTTAATTGGTGAAAGAACTCTGATTTTTCTGTTCCCAGCAGCAGGGGGCATACTATTAAGTGGCTAATAAATGTGAAAGGAAATCATTGTGTCAGTTATTTATTCTTATAAATCTGATGGACTGGGAACAGTCAGCTGCTGGTGTCACATAGGCTGTCTTATATATAGGACATCCCTTGAGATGACTGGGCTGACTTGGCTCTGATTCACCTGTCTTTCCATCTGAGACACGTAGCTCAAGAGAAGGAATACAGGTATTTGGCCTTCAGAAGACTAGGCCATGACTGTGTCACTTCTGCTTCCTTCTCTTGACAAAGCCAGTCTCAGGGCAGACCCAGATTCAAGAGGCTGAGATCGGGGGCTGGGAAGGTGGCTCAGTGTTAGAGCGCTTGCCTTGCATGCATGAGGCCCTGGGTTCGATTCCTCAGCACCACATAAGCAAAAAGAAAAAAGCCGGAAGCGGTGCTGTGGCTCAAGTGGTAGAGCGCTAGCCTTGAGCTGAAGAGCTGAGCGACAGCACCCAGGCCCAGAGTTTAGGCCCTACAACCGGACCCAAAAAAAAAAAAAAAAGAGGCTGAGATCAATGGGAAATACTGCAACCACTCCTTGCTGAAGCTATAGATACAGGAAGAAGGGTGGAGAAAGGATGCCAGCTTGTATCTCTGCCAGGCAGAGGAAGCCCACAGAAAATGATTCATCATTTGAGAAGTGTCTTTCCAAAATGGCCTTTTGCCACCTTGTCATATACATGAATTTATCACAAAGGTCTCAAAAGATGGAGTCATGTCATGATCTTCCCCAGGAGAGAATGATTTTATCATTGCAGAAGATATTCAATAAGAATCTAAATTCCAATCATAGAAATGTCAGATGAGACAAGGATCATGATGTGTTTTTATACATGCCCTCAACACTTTTTTTTTATTCGCAGATCAGCAAAGACCCAATTTTTGTGCCAGGCGTCTGGGGACCTTATTTCTCAGCCATGGTTCCTGGGTTTTGGCTGAATGAAGGTGGTCAGAGTGTTACTGGAAAACTGGTAAGTTGAAACTTTTTCAGTTGGGTTGTGATTATTCTTTTACCACCGACTGGCCTGTTTTGTCATACTGCCCACATACCCAGCATCTGAAACACTTGTAGACTCCAAAGTCAGAGTTAATTTTCTCTCAGTATAGAACTAATACAAAGTGTATGTGCAGCATGTGTTTGCTAAAGGAATAAACATGCTTAGAAGTGATGAGATCTCTTCTTCTCAGTGGTCTTTTCCTACACTAAACTATTTTTTATCAGAGCAATTAAAATGATATTCTGCTTTTTAAAACAAAAAAGTTACTACTTTGTCAGGTCCTGTTTTACTTCCCTATAGACTTGGAGACATGGTTCACATCATTATCTGACCACATCATATCCTTCATGATCATACCCTTTATTCTCATGAATGCATCTGTAATTTAGGCTAGACTGTGAAGAATTTTTCCTACTCATAGCTTCACCATGTCTCTTTTACTTCTGTTGGAGAGAGGATCTATACAATTTTAATGATTATACTTAGTCTTCTAAGACACATTAGCTATTACCATATCCTGATTATTTTTCTTCGCAGTACTGGACTTTGAACTCAGAACTTCATGCTTGCTAGGCAGACACTGTACTGCTTGAGCCACATCCCAGCCCTATCTTCTGTTGTTCTTACAAATTCGTTAATCCACTATTCACGAATGCCATGATTTTGCTATAATTTGGTGAGGGGCAGGGAATAAACAAATTGTTTAAGTAGGGATACAGATTGACCCATTGCAACAATGCGATGTACAAGACAGTATGTCAAAAAACAAACTACAATTTAGGCGGGGAGTGGGGTTAGGGTGGGGGGGGGGGCGTATAGCTGAGGAGGTGGGAAGGAAGGGATGGTAGGGGGAAAACAAAGGAGGAGGCAACAAATCTGGATAAGAAATGTACTCATTACCTTGCTCATGTAACTGTAACACCTCTGTACAGTATTGTCATAATAAAAACTTAATTAAAAAAAAAGACTGTCATGATCTTCTTAAAAACAAAGACTAGATCCATTCATCTACTGAGGGGCCTCTGGGTACATTCCACGCCTCCATCAGAAAGAATGACATCACCCCATTTGTTAGGAAACGGGAAGAATTGGAAAAAAATTATATTAAGTGAAGTAAGCAAGGCTTAAAGAAATGTAGGTCCCATGGTTTCCCTTATTTGCAATAACTAGTATATGTCTGGGACAAGCAGAAAAGGTCAAAAGCTATGTGCATATGACCAGATAAGATGATATTAAGTGAAATGAACCCCAAGATAGGGACACAAGTGGTGTTTTTCTTTCTTGCTATTGTTTCTAACATATTTATAACGTACCATATGATTTTTTTGTTTCTTTGTATGTTCCTCCCCCATGGTATAACTCCTGTTTTCACTGTATTTGATGTTGGTTCCCTGCATCTTGTATATACACTTCTCTAATTTGGGGAGGGGAAGGGAAAAAACAAAAAGCTTAAATAGGGATACAGGTTGACCCATTGTAACAATGAGATGCACAAGAAACTCTGTTGAAAAATGAACTTTACAATTTAGGCAGGAGTGGGGGGTTTGGAGGTGTAGTTGTGGAGCTGGGAGGGAAGAGATGGTAGGGGAATAACAAAGGAGGAGGTAACAATGCTCAATAGGAAATGTACTCATTACCTTGCTCATGTAATCGTAACCCTTCTGTACAGTATTTTTACAAAAAAAGGTATTAAAAAAAGAAAAGGACTATTCCATTATTCTCTTTGGATATACTGTAGGACATAATCAATAGAAGATTCTTAGTAGAAATTTATTGTATTATTAGAGTTGGCTGATAGATTCAGAAATTCTTTTTTTTTTTTTTGTCGGTCGTGGGGCTTGAACTCTGGGCCTGGGCGCTGCCCCTCAGCTCTTCAACTCAAGCCGAGCGCTCTACCACTTGAGCTACAGTGCCACTTCCAGATTCAGAAATTCTGTATAAGTGAGGTGAATACTATTAACTGACACAAAGACATTTGGGCTAGTAAAAATATAAATGGAGAAAATAGGAAAAGAAGGGTAGAGAAGATCTTGAAGGCAGGAGAATTTGCATGAGAAGACATGGAAAGGAAAAATAACAGGGCATATTTGAGTGTAATTGCCAAGTAGTCCAGAATTTTATTTGTGGCATGAACTATTCTTAGAAGAGTAACTTACAATAATGAGAACAGAGTAGTGATCACATCTCAAGAAGTCCCTGTAAAACTTGCTGAGGATTTGAACTTCATCTCATAGACCGACCAAGGGAATCAGAGAAAGGTTGTAAGAGAAAATGTGCATGTTCAGATCTCAAGATGGCACAGAAAGTCTGCACATCTTGAAAAATAAAAAGTGAGGGAAGGGATGGGTTGAGAATGTTGAAGGGGTGACATTGATCAAGATGCACTGTATTAATAAACTGCTGTATTGAATGGCAACTCCTTTGTACAACTACTTAAGGATAAATAAAAATATTTTAAAATTGAAAACCTATCATTTACTTTAGGCATCCGAAAGTTCTAATTTAGTTGTTCCTATTCACAGTTGTATATTGGAACTATCTAGAGAATTTTACAAGATTAGAATTCCTTAGCCTTAAAATCACAGTATCCTGAGATTCTTCCATTATAGATGTTTTCTAGAAACCAGGCCCTTTAAAAATATAGTTTCCACCCATTAGTATTACTTGGTTTTATCTGAAAATATGCCAGACTCCTGAAAATAGGATTAGAGTATTTTTATTAGCATGTATTAAGTATACAAAGTGGTTTCATTGTGATATTTCTATGATATATCTAATGTACTTGGAATAAACCTCCTCTAATATTCAAAAAAAATTAATAAATACCCAAAATTAAGAAACAATGGCATTGACAAAAGGGAACCCTACTGCACTGTTGATGGGAATGTAAACTTGTTCAATGACTATGGAAAGCAGTATGGAGGTTTCTCAAAAGACTACGCATAGAGGGCTGAGAAAGTGGCTCAGTGGTAGAGTACTTACCTTGCATGCATGAGGTCCTGGATTTGATTCCTCTGTACCACATAAGCAGAAAAAGCCAGAAGGGGTACTGTGGCTCAAGTGGTAGAGCGCTAGCCTTGAGCTGAAGAGCTGAGGAACAGTGCCCAGGCCCAGAGTTCAAGCCCCATGACCAACAACAACAACAAAAAAGACTATACATGGAGTTCCCCTATGACCCAACAATCCCACTTTTAGGCATTTACCCAAACGATCACAAACAATCCATGCTAAATCTACCAGCACAACTATGTTTATCGCAGCATTATTCACCTTAGCTAAGATATGTAACCAACCCAGATGCCCCTCAGTAAATGAATAGATCAAGAAAATATGGTATATATATGGTATATATTTTTATATATATGTATATATATACACACACACACATACAAAAGCACACACATTCACACACACAAACACACACACTCACACACACAATGGAATTCTATGCCTCTATCAAAAAGAATGACACACCTCATTTGTTAGGAAATGGAAAGTTTGGAAAAAATTATATTAAGTGAAGTAAGCCAGACTCAAATAAACATAGGTCCCATGCTTTTCCTTATTTGCAATAACTAGTATATGGCTAGGACAAGCAGAAGAGGTCAAAAGCTATGTTCATAGGACCATATAACCTGTTGCTAAGTGAAATGAACCCCAAGATAGGGAGACAAGAGATTTTATCTTTCTTGTTGTTCTTTTTAATGTACTTATAATGTACTGTGTGATTTTTTTTGGTTTGTTTTTGTGTGTTCTTCCCCCATGGTACAATCCCAGTTGTCACTGTATACTTGATTCTGGTGTCCTGCATCTTGTATATACATTTCTTCTAATCTGGGGAGGGGAAGGGAAATAACAAAAGGCTGAAAAAAGGATACAGGATGACCCATTGTAACAATGAGATGTACAAGACAGTATGTTGAAAACAAACTTTACAACTTTGATGCGGGGAAAGAGGGGAGGGAGGAGTTGGGGAGGTGGGGAGGAAAGGGATGATAAGGGAAAAACAAAGGAGGGAGTAACAATGCTTGACAGGAAATGGACTCATTATCTTGCTCATGTAACTGTATGTAACTCCTCTGTACAGTATCTTTACAATAAAAATACATATTTAAAAATTTAAAAAAGAAACAATGGCATAGAAAGAGAGTAAGTAGTTACCCAGATTTTATTGAGTGAATCAACAAGATGTAGAGGGCAAAGTCTTAAGAAATCTAAAAGCTGGCATGATGGAACAAATCTGAATCAAGAACAAAAGCAGACTACCTATTGATGTCTGAAGTATAGGTGTAACAGAGACAGAATTTAGGTCTTAAATAAGATAATAGAAAGCAAATGTGAGAATAGAAATATTAGTAATTATTATAACTTATTGAATATGTTTTCAGTGAGAAGGATATACATACATTGTTAAACCTCAAATGTATCCATAATAATCATAATTCCTAATATTGTTTTATTTTTTATTGTTAAAGTAACATATAGAGGGTTACAGTTTACAAGTAAGATAATAAGTACATTTCTTGTCAAACTTTTTACTCCTAATATTATTTTTGTTTCTGGTCTCAATTCTAAGGATTTCTAGTACGGTTAAAGCTTCCTATGAGATAAAATTTATTATCTGAATTTCATAGATAGCTGATTGGAACTCAGAAGTATAACACAGCCCTGAGAAATGACCCTTATGGCCTTTTTGTATGGTGCCATTGTTACCTTCCCTTGCCATTTGCCAATTCTGATTTATTCTTTTTATAAATATAGACCTCTGGTTTTTAATCTATAGAAGGAAGCTACATCTTTTGTTCTTTGTCACATACGGACATCTTATCTATTAAGCCACTTTTAGAAATGGCTGCCCTAGTAATTGGTCATGTGTCATAAGAACACACACAGTCATAAGAACACCAGTTAATGCAAGAGATAAGTGGGAAATGAGAAAAGAGAGGAAAAAGAAAGTAAGGTAAAAGAAGACA